ATGTAGGTGGTCCTGCTGCCCAACTGGACCGCGCCCTCCTCTGGGCGTCTGACCTCAGCGTCTTCTTTCTGCCTTCATGCCCTTCCCTTCCCGGTCCTTCCTTCCCCATCCCCAGCAAGAGATCACTCACTCCCCTTACTGTGCCCCAAGTGAAAGAGGAAGGATCATTTTTTTTTCTTCCCTGCTAATGGACTATGTTCTGTTTTTATAAAAAGCAAAATCAATAATTCAACTCTTAATATTGTTGGCACCGATGTTCTACTTTGATGAAGGTGTTTTTAATCAGCTCAACTAATTTACTTAATATCCTCTTTTTAAGTGGAATTTGATCAATAGCTTTGGCCCGCAGTTTTGCTGTTAATAGATGTTGATGTAAAGCTAATCTTTTATAAATGTATTTTGAGTGTTCACCATGATGGAAGAAGGGGGTATACTTTTATTCAAAATACCTGATGAAAATGAATCAATTTGAAATACAGAGGAGTATGGTGATGTGGGAAAACCTCATAAGCAAAGTCCCTTCTCGCATAGAACCATGAAGGGTCTCCCTCCCATATAGGAACAGTTGCCGCCTGAGGGGCTTACTCAATACATTGTAGTGGACTGAAGAGGGAAACTCACAAGAATCAGAGAACCCTTCCCAGAAATCACGTTTTCTCTTGTGTCTCTGAGGACAAGAATAAGACCAAGTGTGCATCCTTGACTTGAGTCAGGGTTGCCTTTCAGTGACTCTGATCATAGGACAAATGGACTCAATGGACATTCTCTGTCAATCACGGATAGAAAGAATTTCAGAGCAAGCCTGCTCATAAGGACTTTGACGGTCGTATTTCTTAGTGTTGATGCGTCTACAAGTCAACTCTTGTAGACTAATGCCAATCTCTTGACTAAGTTCTTACATTTAATGAAGACCAGCATTAATTTTTTTTTCTAAATCCATGGCTGAGTTGCTTTGGCTCCTTGACCCTTCTTGGGAAATTCTGAAACTTGTAGATAGTTTCCCATTTCCAAAGTTGTCTAGCTTTCCCTCAGGAAGTATTCCTTCCCTATGTTAGACACCAGATAATATAAGCAAGATGTAAATTGAGAGACGAGTCTAGTAGCTGAGTAACTCAGCTGAAGACTCTACTTTGGTGGCAAACACTTTGAGAGCATAGTGGATCAGAGTTTTCATCGGAATTTATCCTGAGAGGCTGGAGAGATGGCTCTGCAGATAGACTTACTTTCCGCCGCTGGCCCCAAATAATGACACAAAGACTTCTTATTAATTATGAAATTTTGGCCTTTAGCTTAGGCTTGTCTCAACTAGCTCTTATAATTTAAATTAACCCATTTATATTAATCTATGTTCTGTCACATGGTGTTCCTTCCCTCTGTCTTGCCTTGCACCTCCTATTTCCTGTCCTTCCAGCTGGTAACTCCACCTTTCTTCTTCTCGGAGTCCTCTCTGCCCCCGGAAGTCCCACCTAATCTCTATCTATTGGCTGTTCAGATTTTATTACACCAATCACACCAATGTATCTTCACACACTGTACAGGTATCCCACAACATGGCTCAGTGTTTATAGAGCATGTCCTGATCTCCCAGACAACCCAAGTTCTGTTCCCAACATGTACATCTGTTGGCTCATAACTGCCTATAACTCAAAGTCCAGGGTGATGTGATGCCTCTGGCTCCCATGGGCACATTCACATGTGTGTGCCTACAAGCAGGCTCACACTTGTATACATACATTTTAGTTATTAAATTAAAATCAATAAAATACAGATGCTTAATTAAAGACTTCATCATGATACAACATTATCGTATTCCAGGACAAGTGCAGGAAATTAAACTCTAAGGACAAGAGCACATCCCTTATGTAATGAACTTGTCCACCTTCTGCCTCTCTACAGAGGATGATAAACAGATCATCACACGGCTCCATAGCTCACATTTGAAAAAGGATTGCCTTTCAGTGATGCTGGCCATATGATAAATGGACTCCCTGGAAGTCCTCTTCTGATCACTAGTAGAAAGACTCCCCAAGGAAACCTGCTCACGGTGGTACTGACAGACACACAATGAGGCTCGCCTATTACATTCACACTGAGGGGACAGTTCTCCACAGGAAAAAATAAATCCCCAACATTCCAAGATAGTGACACGGAGAAGAGCAGGCCATAGTTCTATTTTTCTTGCGATTCTCTCACCTTAATATGCATTGTCACCCCCAAGATGGCTTCTGAGATTGTCCATCTTTCCTTGTTGGAGGACAGGGTGAGAAGCACAAGCTAGCACAAGCCATCTCTCCTTGAGGACCCTACAGAAACATGATTGAGACATGATGGTGGTTTTTAAAATAATTAAAATTTAAGTAATTTAAAACAACCTGTATATATACCTAAGGAAAACAATGCAAATACATATTCGTAAAGTCATTGGTAGCCAGCAGTCTAATTAACAACTTCTCTATGGATGGTTGATCTTAGAGCAACATAGGTTCTTAAGGCAATACTCTTCATTCAAATGACAGTATTGGCTGATGGACCTTTGCTAGGCCCTGAGATGTGTAATTGGAACTGAGTCTAAGAAATCCTTAGTCCAGTTAGAAAGACAGAATTTCCCTAACCTGCCATGCAACCAATGATTATTCGGCACAGGCAGGTGGCAGGAACACGTTGGAACACAGAGGAATATATGACACCTTTCAAACCCTTAGGAACTAATCATAAAAATAGAAGTGACTTTTGTATAACTTCTTAAAAGAGAAATAGCAAGTCTCTGGGCTGAGAGAATGAGGGGATCTGTCTGGTCCCAGGCAGAGGTATGGTATGCATATGGCAGATCAGTCAAAGGCAGTGAGATGGACTAGGAGAAAAACTTCTGGGTTGGCTCCCTCCAGCCTGCTGCCTCTCTCCTGTGAGTCTGAATAGGCCCTCAGGTTTCCCAGTGGACACTTTCAGATGCTTGCTGTCCCTCCAGGCCTGATTTCAGGCCTGAAGCAAATTAGTAACTGGCACATCCCAGGAGGTCCATTCTTTTCTCAAACCAGGAAGTAGCTTTCTGAGTTATAAGGGAGCTGAAGGATTATTTCCCAAACTAAAGTCAGGACTGGAATCTGAAGGAGGACTAGAAAGGCAAGAAGCAGTTCTTTAAGACTTCAGCTTATTAAATCAGACCTGTAATATAATGCTTTAGCCACTGGCTGGTATAGTACTTTTTTGTCAGGACGGCCAGCCCTCAAATAATGTTATGGAGCCAGTCGTTGATGGCCCATGCTTTTAATCCTAGCACTCGGGAGGCAGAGACAGGTGGACCTCTGTGAGTTCAAGACCAGCCTGGTCTACAAGAGCTAGTTCCAGGACAGCCTCCAAAGCCACAAAGAAACCCTGTCTCAAAAAAAAAAAATGATATGGAAACTTTAATAATTATGAAAGTTTAGCCTTTAGCTTAGATTTGTCTCAACCAGCTCTTATAACTTAAATTAACCCATTTATATTCATTTACATTCTGCCAAGGGCTTGTTACTTCTGTTCCAGCTTGCACCTCCTGTTTCCTCTCCACATCTGACTGGTGACTATGCCTTCCTTCTTCCCAGAGTTCTCTCTGTTCAGAAGTCCCACCTATACCTCCTGCCTAGCTATTGGTCATTCAGGTTTTTATTACACCAACCACAGCAATACAACTTCACACAGTGTACAAATATCCCATAATATCTCCACCTTTTGTCTAAATAACAAGGAAAAGTTTTAACTCAAGCATAGTAAAACTATATACAATAAGAACGATTTTCAAGTAAGAATTACATTTACAATGTCAGTCCATTTGTGTTTGTCAAATTTGGAGAAATTATTTTTATTATCTATCCTATCTTGATGAGTCTAAAGTTTTATACTTAAACCATTTTTATCATAACTTGTAATATCATCCTAAAAATATCTTTGTAGACCTTAAAACATTTTTTTAGATAAACAACTTAAGCTTTTATGTCTCTCAACCTTATAAACTTTACACTTCTTTGTGAGCTTCTTTTCTAAATTTGGTAACAATGAAAACTGTAACTGTAACTATCTAGTCTTCAACCCCACCAAAGACCTGAGGAGGATATAATATTACCTGAATAAACAGGAAGTACAGAGCAAGAATCTTCCAAAATTACAGAAATGACAGAAACAACTGGCTGCCTGGACAGTCACCCAAGGTTCCTCTGCAATGTTGGGGCATCCATCTTCAGCCTACATGCCTAGAATACCTGGCAGACTTTTCTATGAAGCAGGAATTTTGAAGGACTGTCCTAACTTGTCTTGGCAGAGTTTGGCAGTCACCTTCATTTGTGTTCTGCTTGTTCAGTTTGTACAGCATACTGTCAGCAGTTGAGGAAAGAGAAGTTTCTTGCTCAATGGCTGGTTTTGCCACAATAAAAGCAAACTCTATATGGAGGTTCTTTGATGCCCAGCATCCTTTTTTGA